CCAAAATATAGACGTACTGCCATTCATATTGTGTAGCAAAATAAAAGAATATTTTATATTTAAATAATATTTTTAACTATTCTAAGTTTCGAACTTAATATTGCTGATTTTATTGACATTCGTCGCGGTAAACAATGTATTTACAGTTGATTGAATATTAAACATTTAAAGCAGAAAAGATTATGATCTTAACAAGTGATATCTATACAGCATTAAAAAATGATTTTATAAAGAGAGGTTTTGCAAATAGAGACTATAAGAATGATAATATAGTAAAATCGCATCTTAGCAAAGGAAGTACTGAAAAGAATCTGTTAATTCAAAGTTAATTTTAACCTTTTGCACTCCTTTATCGAGTGTGATTCGACATCAGTTTTTATCACAGGACTTTTATATCAAGTCACACTCGATATTTTTAAAACTCAAAAAAAAATAATAATAATAATAATAATAACAATTGAAAAATAGTTTGGAGTGCAAAGGGTTAAGTGTATCTGATCAAAAGGTGGTTTGACGAATGACTTTAGAAATCAATTTTAATGCAGCTAAGAAGTATAAATATTATATGATATATAGTTACATATTTTTAGTATTGCTTTGCATGATTTAAATGAAATACATCCCTTTGATTTAACACAACATGTTCATATGATCTATAAAGTTCAGTGCGATTACGATGAATTATGAAAAAGTGATATTATGAAAAAAACTTCCATTCAAAAAAATTATTTTTAATTTGAAATCTCTGCCATTATCTTACCAACACAAAAAATATCCATACCAAATAGCATCCACCTCCTTTTGTAAGAATCTTTTTTTTTTTTTTTTTTGATGAAATATGAAGTCCTCGTAAGATATTTCATTGTTCTAGCTTAAATGTAATATAAAACTTTGCAGTGTAAAAAAAGAAGAACGTATCGTTCAAGAAGAAAAATTATTTATTGACTGACGAACTTACGTTTCAAGGCTCCAATTGGCACCTTTGAAATACTTCGTGTAAATATTTCGCTGACAAATTTGGCGCGAGTCACAACATTAAAGTTAAAACTATGTATGTGATAATAAACACGATACAAGAGATTGTAAAGTGCGTGACGATAGGAGAGACAGTGCAGACAAATTCGATGCGAAATCGGAGAGCTATTAGAACGGTAGAAAATAGCACAGATGAACTCAATGCATAGTTAAACAGTTGTTAGAAGCTCGAAGAAAATACGAACTTGATACGAAATCAGGGAGCCACTACTAGGTTAGAATAATTCCCTTTCAAAACTGGAAAGTACGAATTTGATATGAAATCAGCGAGTCGTAGGAAACGTTCTTGTAATTTTGATTAATCCTCATTCGTCCTTCATTTTTCTAATTTAATTTGTCTCAAATCTAACTTAATTAGTATCAAATTGACGCAGTAATAGAAAGACACAATAGAAAGATAAATAATTAAATTCACAAATTCTTTTATTAATAATAAATTTCTATTCAATTGCGTATAACCTGTTCTCAAGTATGATCACTGTCAACTCAAAATGTCCCAAACATATTTTCAATATAGCATGTATTTTTAATCTTTTTAACACTTCGTATAGCACTACACATCTGTCCTTTTTTCAAAGACATAACGCACTAAAAGCATAATGGAGGCAACAACACGAGGTCTTAAAAGCACAAACTTCGCAATTTTACTAAACTCAAGTCGTAACTCGGCAGATTAACCTGGGTCTCATAACAGTTGGAATAACTCGAATTTACAACAATTAGGATAAACTTGAAGTCGCGGTATGGAAGAGTATACTTATTAATTCTTTATAATAAATTCAGACTCACACAAGATCCGTAATTCATTATGAATTTGCAAGGCGCTCGATCGAAATATTGCGCCTAGATAATTACCACGTGAATTTATTTAATTTAATCCCTGAATCAAAATAAAACTCGGTTCCTTTTCGCAAGTAGTTCAAAATATTTCGAGAGTACGCGTATGAAAAGGATTTCTTATACTAAAGTCTTATACTAAAGATATTTTTCTACATCTTTTTTATAAGTGGAGGCGTTTTGGAGATTTCAAGATCATTTCCATTTTCTTAAACGATATGATATATTTTTTATAAAAAAGTATTAATCTATATATATCGAAAAGTTATTAGTTATAATTTTATAATAATTTTTCGACGTATGTACGTTACTTTTTTAAATGCAGAATGTCGAGTTGCATCGACTAATGGATCAACAAATATATCGTTTTATTTAAAAACGTGAAAATGATTTTGAAATTTCCGCCCGTAAAAAAATATAATTGTATATACAGAATATTTGATTAAAATTTGTCCGATAATTATTAAATGGTCTGTATTGTCAGAATGACCAGTTGTGTTATACCAAATCGAATTGTACAGGAATGAAAAGGGATATATTGTACAATAGAGGAGATACTAGAAGGTCGCAATAATGAAAAGGTCAGAAATTGCTTGAAAAGTGTAGATAGAAAAATGAAGGAGAAAAGAAAGGAAAGAAAGGACGAAGGCTAAGTAAGAGGAGAAAGCAAAAGATTAAGCTAGATAAGAAAGTCGAAATCTTGTTGTGTATGAAGTTTTATTATTTTAAACTAAATTATGATATTATTTTTATGATATTATTTTATTATTATATTATTTTCGCGTATTTTATTATTACGTGAAAATATATTTCGATGAGATTGTTCTGCTTTAATTGTAGTCTGGTGCGTCAAGTATAATAAGGATAAATGGAAACCTGAGACTTGAAAACTTTTGTAAACCAAGTCCTACTCTGTAGCTAGAATTAATTAATAAATAAAGTAAATTACATCGAATCTAATAATGCTTACATTATATTCCAATGATCAACATAAGTTATCATCATAGTAATTACTCTCATTCTCATCATCATAAGGCAAAAATCAAACACAAGAAAAATCGAAAAGCAACAAAAATCAAGACACGTTCGAATTGTATAAAAGAATATTGCAAATACAATTATGGTTCCTATAAATAGAACAATATTATGACAATTAATATGAACATGTATGGAAACAATATGGTTCCTGTAAATATAGGAAACACCATTATAACACAATTAGTACGATCACGTATGGGAATAATATGGAAGTGTGACGATAGCTGAGGTAGTTACAATGCATGCAAAGATAATAAGTACAATAACAAAGACGGTCTTGATCATGACTATAAAGGAGTTAACGACAACGGACCGTATTATCACTACGGCTCAAAGCAATAGTAATTACGGTAAAGGTTATCCCGCTTTCGCAAGTGACCACCATTATCATCACCATGAACTAAATCATGATTACGCCAACCATCGTCATAGTTGCTTCATTGCAATTAATGGGGCAACTACAATACATATTGCAACTTGTTTCGGAATACGTTACACGATCCTCGTATTCACGGTTAATCAGCAAACAATACGGACAACTCCGCGAGGAATATCAAAAATCAACTAGACTAATTGCGAGCTGCTTGCGTTAAACGTTGAATTTGCCGAAGTATGTTGCCGAAATTCATATGCACACGATGTTCACAAATCGCGCAACGAGAGTTTTTCTGCAGTAGTTCTATGAAAACTTCAAGTTAAAGGGAGAAACAGATCGTCGCACGGAATGTAAAAAACATTGTTTGACACAGGTATGAATGTTGCCATATTTTACCTGCTTGAAAATTACGAGCGGGTAGGAGAAACACTCGTGCATTAATTCCTTAAACAGCGAATTCAACGTCAAGGTATTTCGCCTCGTATCGCGTGTGGTAGGAATAACATATGATCGAAGTTGGGGAAACATTTATTTAGAGTTATCTTCTCTGGAATTATGGAAAACGAACTGATTATTATTACGTGAAGAGAAGGAGGAGGAGAAATGAAGCTGGAAAAGAAGCTTGGCTTGAGTAATCAAAGATTGATGACTGCCTTCGTTCAGAATTAATCAGACTTGAGTGATTGATTGAAGTATCCGGAGTATACCTCTTGTAGATAGATCGTCTAAAAATTTGCAAAATTATGAACGTTATGCGAAGAAGAGTAACACGCAATATTATATTTTTTTCTTTTTTTTTTTTTTTCACTATATAATCGTCCCGATGTTAATTCGTAGTTACTTGAAGGAGATCGATAGTTGCATTCTCATTTCTGCGATAAGAACAGCAGGCGAATAACGAAAGCCGAAATGCAGCTGCATCGGTGCATTAACCAACGCATTGATTAATTAAAGCGTCGCGTCGCGTCGGCATCGAATAATCGATTTCGCGGAGGAAGAGTGGCAAACATATTCCGCGATAATTAAAATCCACCCCGATATCGGGAACGTTATTAATGCTCGTCTTTTTTGTTTCGGGGCTCAGGGCAGAGACCATTCCGCATTATTTCCCGCCATATTTATTTAACGATAAACTGAAAACAATATTTAAGCGGATTTGACTTGAATTCGCGATAAGTTTAATTATATGCGAAATTCTTTTTTTCGCAGAACGGGATTTTCACTGCCGCAATGCCATAATAAATTAATGATCTTCCACCGGTACATGCCAGCACCTCTGGCTCTCGTTATTATATCGTATCGAGTTGACCAAACCTATCTGAAGTTTAATTAGACTCCGAATCTCTGCTGATATATCGGTCCATGAATGCGTCCCTACGCGGTCCAGCTGCAATGCGATCGCAAATTGATTACTTTTTCCCCGTGCGTCGTTACCGGCCAATGACAATCGCTAATTAAGGGTTTAACGCAATGATCTATGAATCGGCGATCTCTTTGTATTTGCGTCGAAATACTCCTGGCTGCCAGTTTACGCGAACAGATGAATATGTATCTCGCATGTACGTGTATTCTTGTTGGTTAGATTGATCAACGAGAACATAGAAGAGAAGAGATTAGTGCAGGAAGAAATCACTGTGTAAAGGAATAACGGGTAAACAATTTCAATCGGTTGGTTTGATCGAAGCGATAGAAAAGCTCTCCAGATTCAATCAGGATCTCTCAACCTTTAATCCATAGGGCTGACCTTTCACTTAGATTTCTGTCTGCTTTCGAAAAGTCCCGCAGTCCCTTCAGGCGGCTGCTGATTGCTCCTGGTCATTACGTTGCGTTCGCTGGATCGTCACCAATCAGAAGTTTAATTAAACGGGAAACTCCGCAGGGCCCTTTGGCGATACATCACGCGGTTTCGGCGCGTAAGAGAACTGATAGCACGAGAAACTAATATTACAACTTGCCTATAATTCGTGCTTCTGTGTACTCGCATGATCATAATTTCAACGGCTCGCGTGTATGCCATGATTCATTTATAACGAGAGCTTTGCCGTTTAATCCACGCTACAAGATATATACTGACAAGAAGTTAAGAAAACAATCTAGTCGAATGTAATGATTTTGTTATACAAAGTTATACGAGTAATCATTTTATGTATCGATCACTATCAGAAATGTACCTGTGTTCCCTATGAATTTACTATGAATTTTTCGATTACTTACTTGCAATATTTATGACAGTAAAATATGTAGGATTGTAGACCGATTTTCATTTGTTAATACAAATAAAAGGAAATTTGAAATTTTGTATATTGTAATGATCTTTGCAAAATCGTGTTACCATTCATTCAGAAAAGAAAGTTATTTAAAAAGAATGTAACAAACGTTATTTCAACGATACTAAATATTATTCGAAAGTGATTAAGACACTTCTCACGATATAATATTAACACAATTAAGGGATTAAGTCTCCATGCTTAAAGCATTAGTTATTGAGCTTTGGATATATTCGAAAATGACGAAAATTCGACGAAATTTTAGAATGATTTTTTGAAATGTTCAATAACTTGGGCGAGAAAATCTCGTACAAATTTTAGGTCATTGTAAAGGAAAAACACCAATCTTCAAATCTATAGTAGACTTGTTAGTCATGAAAAAGGTTTGTCAATGTTTTCTATAGACGTTTGAATTTATATAGCATTTTTCGAGGAAGAACAATATCTCTGTTTTCTCCTTCACGGTATAATATAAACTATTAAATTAATATAAATATAAACTATTTTTGTGAAAAATGAATCCAAGATTGTGAAAGTAAAAGCTCCACACTTTGAGCTCAGATTCGTTGCTATACGATTTCTTGTTACGAAACTATAATAGTTTAAATATCGTCAATTTTTCAAACATTAAAAATTTAGTATACGTTTGTGTGACTGTCACTGTATATGTTAACATTTTTATTAAAAATTTATATAAATCAAGCAGAATGGGTTTTTAAATTTTTATCAATATTAAATAGTTTGTTATTATAATAGTTTATAATTTATATATCTCTGAGATTGAAAAATAAACAATAGTTTCTTGAGGAATATATTATTTCTTAATTTTTGTAAGTAAATATGTACATAGCGATTCTTCTGCAAATGCATGTCCATACTTTAAATGATGAATCTACAAGTAAATGGACTTATGTTGTTGAGTCATAGATAATTGTAGGAAATGTCTCCTTTATCCTTCAACACAATTGCATATCTTAATTGTATTTCTCACTAGCTTGAACAGTCTTCAAATTCATTGCAAATCCTTTCTTGCAGATCGTACACATTACTCGCCTCTATCGAATACACAATAAGTTCTGCATCAAAAATAAACATTTAATGAAATATAGTAGGATATACTGAAACGCAAGATAGACACATCGAACATTTTCTTCAATCATCTATACTTTGAAAACTAAGGATACGTAGGAATATAGATTTATATAACATTTTTTTTTTTTACTTATTAAATTCATCAGTTGAAATATGAGCGTGCATTTAAGAATCACCTAATGTACATGCAATTGTGAGATAAAATTGTTGCTCAAAGGTATCTTTTGATCAATATTTCCTTGCATTATTAATCCGGGGATACACAAAGGGTACCGTTATTTGGAAGATCTTTAAGAAAATTGCTTTGAAGTTATCTTCGTTGTCGATATAGCACTAGATGGAAGTGAGATTTGAACAAGATTGTCGACGCTAATAACACCGTGAAAATTAATCATAGTTATAGCCTCCGGCATCGTAATCACGCCTATAATTTATAGAATATTTGGTAAACGTTAAACCTCAACAAGGCGTGCGGTTAAATATTCTAAAAGCTAAGTATATACATACGTGGGTAAGTAAATACATCTCTCAGAGAGCAAATTGTCGTGGGATAAGAATGCTTATTATTCAGAAACACGTTAATTATTTCCCTGCTGCGTTCTTTCGATCCACTTGTATTTCTCAAAAAAAGTCGGAAAATACCTCAAGTTTTCTTATGATGAAAGAAATTCTAATTATAACAGCACGCGTGATTCCTTGACTAAACTTTATGTTAAACGTTTTTTTCTTTTCTAAATATTACAAATTCTCTTTATTCGCTAAACTGAGTAAAAATTTATGAATCGCAGCAACCTGCTTTCTCACTCAATATACACAGCTTTAATATACATAGTTGGCGCATTGTTGACTAATTCCATTCAATTAAGATTGGTTTAAGTATTCGTTTAATGCAAATGTTTATTCAGTAACCGCTCGTGAGGATTTCAATAGGAACACAAAGTGTACACAAAACACATTCATCGGTGACATGCTCGAAGTGCTTTCACGTTGCACCCTATAGGGTTACAAAGGCTTTGATCCCTGACTTCAACAGAATGCTTACCGGTGCTAGTAGGATTACCGCAAGCGCTATGGTCGAGCCACAAATAACGCGAATCGCTCGAGTGTATTAAGTCTGTGAGATACGTCTTCGATTTGGTTGAAATTTACCACATACATCATGCTCTTCGACACCGGTGGAACCGTGGCTGTTTAAACGATTCGTTACTCGTTAGATTAATACCGCGGAAACAGAAGATTACGTTTCACGTTTAATCAACGTCCAGGACAGACTCTGACGCGAAATTCTACCGATATCTTCTCAAGAATAAAAGCCGGAGACTCAGAATAGAAGCAATCTACTGTCGACAAAGCATCCTCTTAATTGCAAATCAACGACATCTATCTATCGGTTTCTACTTAATTAAACGTAAAATCGAGAATCTTTCTCTTACTCTCATTGACAGACACCGTTGCAATTCCCTGCCTGGCACAACGATATCCAGTCGAGATTGATTTAAAATAAGTTTATCGAGAGAAAGTTTTAGGGAAAATGCAATTCCATCGAAATCTATACAAAATGGAAGATCGAAGATCGTCGTCCGCGTCGTCAATGATTCATTCATCTTAAAAAAAAAAAAAAAAAATCTTGTTCCTCTCGATGAACGCGCGATGGCCAATTTACGTCACACGTGTTGTCCAATCCGGTAGCACGGTACAAGGATTAGTTAGCATCAGCAAATTGACATACGTGTGTTCGGGAACATACGTGTGCACTTTGCCACGAGACGTGCGAACGACATTGTCCGGTGACGAGGAACTCAATTGTACTCGATCAACAGGTCTTAAGATCGCGGCTAGCAGCAGGCGAAAGTGTTGCGCTTGGCCGCGCAACCGTGGCAAGTGCAAGTAAATTGGTATTTTGAACTTCGATTTACACGTCCGCACGACGCCTGTACATGTGCTAGCTTGACAACTCGTTAAACACGTTAATCTCTAGTCATATTTGCACCTCATGATCGTATAGTTACCGATACTTCTGAATTGTACA